AAACTTTGTTCTCGCACAAATTGTGGAAAAGTTGCCGCCGAGCAAACTTCAAGTTTGAATGACTTTTTGCATTTGCGAGTGCATTTGCCTACTCACTCATGCAATTTGAGACAAATACTAAGTGGAAAATCAAGTTTCGCCAACTGACCGCAGGAACTTTAATTGGTATTTGGACCAATTGACTTTCGGCCAACAATTTTTAGGAACATCCATCCCATGCCCACAACATGACCAGAAATCCCCATTTATATCTTGTCTGCAAACTGAATTATTCAATTCACTTATCGGACTTCTGTTGGAAAAAACTTTTACAGTTCGGTGTGGTCCATTCACGAAAATCCCAAACATGTTTGTGTTAATCCTCCGACATCACTTAAGCCCCCAACAGTTTAACTACAGGAGGAGCCGGGAAACAGCCAGGAAATATCGAAAATATTGCCAACTAGTTCCATTCATTTGTCCGGAGCTGAAAAGTTTTGCCAAATCGAAAGCATAAAAAAGGGAGGAAAAGGTGAAACTTAAGCGAAAGTAATAAACTATGAAACTGAAAATGCACTCACCACCTGAAAACCAGGCGGTGGTCGGAGGTGAAACGGTTTGGGACAGGTTCCATTCGGGAGTTGGGAGAAACAGCAGCTTGGTCATAAAGTGCAAAATGTCGAAAAAAGAATGATAGAAAACGAAAACTTACGTGACCGTAACTGTGTCACCTGGATAACTCCGGCGGACCGACGAAACATTTTTCCAAACACTGGGCCCAATGAACCTTAAACCGAAGACATACACACGCCGACCCAAGCGACCGAGCAATTTATTAAATCGATAAAAAGCTGAAAACAAAGGGAAAAGCATAAAGAATTTTGAGGAAAATAAATAAAAGGAAAACATACATTTATAAAATAAACTCTTTAAAAGAGGTCGGTCTAAAATACGGTAGCTAAGTGAGTTATAAATAGTGAAACAGTTTTTCTTGATTAATAAATAATTGAATAATTTATTTTCTAAAATAATTATATTTGAACAAAATTCGCTGTGCTTGAAGAAATACTTGAAATGTAACAAAGGGCGACACTAAACTTGAAGCTCAACGAAATGAAATTTTGCTATCAGCTACCATAAAACGAAATGAACTAGATTTTCCTTTTCTTTCTTTTTCATTTACAGCATCTTCCATCGAACACAAGTAGCATTGTTTGGCGGGCAGGAAATGAAAGGGTTTCTTTTTTTAGCGCAAGGGGAGAAAAGTCTGGGAGTCTGGGGGCTACGACGACAATGCGGCTGCCAGGAGGCCAAGCAAAATGAGTTGAGGATATTGATTTCACCTAGTTTTGGTTGCCTGAAGGCTGTTTGCCGAGCTCGGTTTTCCTGCTGTTAGTTTGCTACACTTTTCTTTTTTTTTTTTGGTTTATTTGGTTTTGTTATGGGTGTGAAAGTGTGTGCCATAAAACAAGCAATTCAATGTTGTGCGAGCATGCTTGGAAATGAATTTCAATAACAGCAACTTTATTATCAACAAATTGCTCTACATACTCGAGTGGTTTGTCAACTAAACTTTGGTTTTCGGAAAGGGGAAAAAAAGTCCCTGAAATATTTATTTCAATTCAGCTGATGCTTCGCTTCTATTGACATTTAAATATTTATATATTTAATTAGAATTTTTCCATTTGGTGTTTGTTTAGAAAGAGTAAATATAGAGCGAATTATTTGATATAAATCAACAAGGAAATATAAGCCCATTCAGACCACTTGTTTTCCCCATACTGTGGTTTATATAATAATAAGCAGTTTAATTGGAATTTAGAATTGCATAATAAATTTGATAGAAATATTATTTTTAATTATTTCAACAGGGGTTGTGGCTGCCAAAAAATAATACTCACTGAATATGTGATGTTTTAAAGCCAGTGCAAGGCACTGTATTTGCATAATTCCATTTTATTTTGTATAATTTAACTTCCTCCGTAAATCACTCTGAGTAAGTCATACCTAATCCCTTTATCTTGGCCTTAATGAGGGAACTCTTTACGAGAGCACTGGCTCAACAGTGTCAATCACTTTAGTTCCATTTAGTCACACTCTGCCAAAATTTGGTAACATTTTGCCGAGAAATGTCGGCTATTAGCTAGCAGAAAGTGGGATGGGGACAGGCGCACATTTGCCACATGCCACAAATATGATTAAATTTCTGCCAGTCAAAATAACACAAAACTGTTGACACCGCTCCGAAAGACGGCAACTCCCAGTGGCAACGACGAGTCTGAGCCAGCCCCAAAAAGTTGACATCCAAGTTGTGATTTGCCGGTTGCAAATAAATGGCTCAAGCCCAGCAGTTGGGCGCAAAAAGCGTGAGCATGTAAATTAAAACATGTTCAACTTATTAACAAGCCCGACTGCGGGCCCCGAAAGGCACATTAGTTTTCCGACAAACACATATTTGTATGCTCGCGCTCTCTCCTACAAAATATTTACATTTGCTGAAATTATGCGGAGCAAACTTCTTGCCGAGCGGCAAGCAAAAACTATTGTACAAGTTTTTTAAGGCAAGACATTTGTGGGCGGGTCCCCAGCTAAACTTATGTCTGTCTGGAATTTGAAATAACTGAGAAAATAAATGTGCAAGACAAGTGGATAAGTATAATTTTAATGATATTTTAAACTAAATGTGTTAATAATGATTGAAATTTAGTTTGCTTATTGTAGGGTTTAGTTATATTAAAGACAATGTGCAAATTTCTATGGTTTATTAAATAAAAAAGGGGTTATTAACTAGAATAATGTGGCTTAAAATAAATACAAAATAAAATAAGGTTACTTAAATACGTACAACTTGAAAAATGTGTTCCTAATGCTTAAAATATATTATTCAAAATTTTTATAAATTAAAGTAATTAACTTATGAGAGCTTTAGAATAATTAATAATATGATAGTATGGCATATACAAAAGATTTCCTTAGAATTAAACCTTAAAATTTCTATGATTTTAAATTGCTTCCAGTGTACCTATATATGTATGTGCTGACTTCTTCTCGGGGGCAGTCATAAAAGTTTAATTCCTTTTGCTCTGGTTGTTGTAAGTAGCATCCCCCGGGGGCTGCAACTTGCAGGGAATGTCGCCATTTTTGTTGAAATGACAACCAAAGTTTTCTGGCCGGGTTTTTGTGCGGGTGGCCGGAAGTTTTGGAGACAAGTTTTAAATGCTGTTTGCATGTTACGTGGCTTCCCCCTTACCTCGCATTCGGTGGAAAAACCTTTCTGGCCCCAAATTACGGTAATGACTAAAGCGGGGGAAGGTTGAATATTTGCGGCTAGCTAAGAATTTATAGGTTGTTGCAGTTAAGAAGTTCCATAAGAATTAATATACATATTTTTGGGCAATTTTTCCTAAACTAAACTGCTTTGTCCTCAATTAGCAATTTATTCGCAAGCATGGCATGTTCTTCCTATTACAGAGAAACTTATAAGCTAAGATAATATAAATTTAAATGAAGTATTAAATTTTAACTAAATTCAGACAGTGATTTTGGTGTACCCACTGAACTATGTGAGAATTTTGACACCACTGCCACATCGAGGCGCAAAGATTTTCCACAGATATTGACATTGGTTTCCATTCAGTGACACGCTAACACACATAGCCGCATTCTCGCTTGGTTTTTGGCCAGGTCTAAAAGGATATCTGTATCTATATGCGGTGCACATCCCCGGCCACACTCCACTCCCCGTCTGTGGCCCATACACGTGCCACGAGTCAGTCTTTGTTCGCGCTATTTATAAAAGTCACTGACACAGTAACTTGCTTTCCTCCTTTGGCCTTTATGCGGCGCTCGTTTCGCCACTTCTTCTAACTCTCGCTAACAGAACCATCGCCTCCTTTCCCCATTTCCCAAGCCCTTCTGCGCCCCAACTCTTTTTCCGCTTTGATAAGCAGGTCCTTTTGTTCCAGGAGCGAACTTTCTATGTGGGCAGCAGGCGAGAAACCCGTGCTCATATTGCTTTTGTTGTACTTGTTGTTGTGGCCTTTGTTCGGCACGAGGGGCGGTGGGTGGCCCAGCCTGATGTTGACTGGAAGCTCAGATACAAGCGTGTGCCCAGATACATGCGATATGTATCTGCCAAAGATGCAGCTGCACTAGCTTCCCTCCGCCCCCCAAAGATAAATTTGTGTTTGCATTTTGCCAACGATTTTGTGTGCTCCGCTGTGAAGTTAGTTTAGTTTCACTTGGCAGTTGCTTTAAAGTTAAGACATCACTTTTCTTCTAAAATTGGTTATTTAAAGATTGGAATGAAGTATCCCCCCGTTAAAAACCTAGTTATCCCTTCCGCAAGTCACCACTTTTCCGCCTTAAGCCTTAAATGTGCCACTTCAACGGCTCACACATATCACGGGATTACCAGGCACAGGCACGCCGCTAGCAAAAAGGTAACCCGCCTAGGAAGGAAGAAAAACCTTTCAATACAAAAATGTCTTAAGCTCCGAAACGTGTCCGCTGCGATTAGGATCCACTAGACCAGGAGAGCCATCGATGACTGTGGGCTTTCGTCAGGCAGACGAGGAGGAAAAGAGTTGTTTTCGTCTAATTTGCCTATTTTCGAGGCTTAGGCGCTCATTTGTCCCGGAATCGAGTCAATGGAGGAAGCCTGATTTAATGCCCTGTTTACCTACTTCCTTACACCGGCTTGATTAATGGTTTTGGCCTTTCAGCCGACGGCTTAAAGGCAAAGTCTGTGAGTCTCTTACCAGCCATTTCATTGACCGTTGATAACTGGAATTCCTGCAGGACTTCCACCGGAAAGACAATCAATTTTTGCATTCCCATTATAGACTTGCCCCCATAATTTTCTTGAATTGAGCAGCTGTCAATTAGCATTTTCTTTGCTTCTGCTACACTGAAACAAATAGAAAGTTTGCTAGCACAAGAAGTTAGTTGGATATCACTGAAGAATAACTTATATATTTTTTCAAATTTATATAACATTTTCCCTTATGTTTTTCTTACAGTTGGTTCGCGTGACTCCTCCGGCAGTTCTTCCTCCTCCTCGTCATCCTCTTCATCGGGAAGTGGAAGCAGCAGTTCATCCTCCTCCTCCTCGTCTTCATCGTCCTCTTCTTCGTCTGCCGGCGGAGGAAGTCCCACCAAGTATCCTGTGCTGGTCTTTGTGCATGGCGAATCGTATGAGTGGAACAGCGGCAATCCCTACGACGGATCCGTGTTGGCCAGCTATGGACAAATATTGGTGGTAACCATAAATTATCGCCTCGGAGTGCTGGGTAAGTGCTGTGCACACTCGCATCCTAATGCTAATTGATATGCCGAGTGCATGACCAAAGGACGAGCGACCAACAAACGAATGGACTGTCGGACGATCGGTCGTGGTAAACTCAGCGCAATGAGGCGGACGTGCCGCCAATCGGGTCCGCCTGGCCTCCTGGCATGTCCCTCGCCCTCAATGGAAGCCTTTAAGCCAACCTCTTTTGCAACATCAACTGCACTTCCGCCGACAATAACTACGGCAGCTGTAACAACTGCAGCAGCGACGTGGCGTACATTTATTTTATAATCCAACTAATTTAGTTACAGTGTGACCTAACATTTTCAATAACTGGAAACGGAAGTCTTAACCTCTTTCAGGATTTAATTGAAATCGAATTAGTAATTATTTTTATGTTATAAATGTCTTAAAAGAAAGGAAAATTAAAAAAAGTCCATTCTGTTTATATTTTAAATGCTGTTTGCTTGTTTCATCTCTTCCCCTTCACTTTATTTTGCCAGTGTATTTTGTTCAAAGGATTTAAGTACCATTTCACAGAGTTTAATTAAACCCGAACCACTGTGCATTGTCCAAAACACTGGGCAAACTCAAATGCGCCGACAAAATTAGTGTGACCCCATTTGGCGCCAACCACTCTTCGTTGCGACCCCTTTTTTTTCCTAAAACAACCGAATCCCCTGCTGCCGCCGCCATTGCCACTGCTGCTGCAGAGGAAACGGAAGTGCTGACATCATGATTTGCACGCGTGACTTTGCACATTTTTGCGCGGCAGAAAAGAGTTGCGTTTGACATTTTAAATAGGCAGCGCAGCTCAGCCCTGGACTGGGCGGCGGCCGACTGACTGACTGACTGACTGACTGAGTGAGTGACTGACTGAACTGACTGGCCGCACGACTGGGCGGCGAATCGATTAAATTTCCATTCGCAGGCCAATCGGGCGTGAGTGGAAAACTGCTGATTAAGTGTGGCGAACGCCCCTGACTATTTGCAGGCTTCTTGAACGCCAACACGGACCGCTACTCGAAGCTGCCGGCCAATTACGGGCTGATGGACATCATAGCGGCGCTGCACTGGCTCAAGGAGAACATCGAGGCCTTCGGCGGGGATCCCAACAGCATCACTCTGGCGGGCCACGGAACTGGGGCGGCCTGTGTGCACTTTCTCATCTCATCGATGGCCGTGCCAGAGGGTGAGTACGTCCACGTTATTCTGCCAGACGTACCAGAGCCTGTGCACTGACATCCCAATTCCCCATCTCATTTGCCACAGAAAGTAAAGGAAATGGCAATTTATGGGGAGAGTGTTGATACACTGATGCGAAAAAATCTTGCAGGGAAAAGTGTGAAAGTAAAATGTATACAAAAAGTGCAAGCAATTATCTTTTCAATATATTTAAAACACAATTTGTAAGCAACCTACAATATATTTTTCTCTGTATCTTCCTCCCCTGAAGGCCTGCTTTTCAATCGCGCCATCCTGATGTCCGGCTCAGGCCTGGCGCCCTGGTCGCTGGTCAGCAACCCGGCCAAGTACGCCGCCATCGTGGCCCATCACGTGAACTGCGCCTCCGACCTCCCACACGCCCACCTGATGAAGTGTCTGCGCGAGAAGACGCTCGAGCAGCTGCTCAGCGTTCCCATCCGGCCGCCGGAGTTTGGCTTTGCCTTCGGTCCCAGCATTGACGGCGTGGTCATCGATGGTGGCGATTACGTGCCTCCTGCCCCCGGGTCGCCGGCTGCCCAAGCTCAGGCGCAGGCTTCTACGGCGGCGGGTAATGGACTCGGCGGGGAGGCGGGAATCGCAGCAGCCGGAGGCTGGGGGACTCCTGGGCAACTGGAGAATATCGGTGAGTTGGATAGTCTCTAAGGACGCCATTAAACATGACACTCGGTTAATTAGTATTTGCATTATTCGAGTTTTTAGAATTGTTGCTTTAACTTTATTGAAATAAAAATGAATCTGTGTGAATAAGAAACTTAAAATGGGGGTTGGTTTTTAACACCATTAAAATTTATAATTTCAACAAAAACTCTTTAGCTTAAAATGTTCAAAACATTAAGCATTATTTTTGATTACTTTCGCTTGTTAAAACGGGTCGAGAAAGTTAATTAAATTCATTAAAAATTATTTTAGTGCATCTGGTTGCGTTTTTCACTTGCCTCGAAAATGTTTTTCATTTCCTTTGAATAATTAAAATAAATTATAATGCAATGTTTTCTCACTTCTCTCCCTTCAACAACACGACTCCAACTGCTCCCGCTGATGACGATGATGATGATGATGATGATGATGATGATGATGATGATGATGATGATGGTGGGCACTTGTTACCTCACACACATGAACACCAACACACACGCGTACACAACATGCGGCGGACTTTTTAATTAATGCAGTATTAATGAGAAAAACTGCCATTAACAAGTTGTCAAGGTAAGTTGGGCCAAGCCCGCAAATGCTTAATTATTTTTACCTTAACTCTCACGCCCTATAAACACACACAGACAAATTTAAATTGCAGGATTTCACAAAAAGATAGAATTATCAATTAGTTTTTAGCATCAAATTTAACTTGGTTATTTTATTTAGGTTTTGTTTTCTTACTTCTTATTTTGTAATATATTTTTTTATTATTTATTTAGAGAGAAAACGTATAAAATCCATTAGAATTTTTCCCTGTGCAAACTCTTAATATGTAAGTACAGTTTTGGACCTTAATTAATCTAAAGTTTCGACTTCTTTTGGCAAGTTTGTGCCTCCTTTGTTAGGTGTCAAAGGAGGTTTATCTTGACTTTTTGCCATGGCACGAACCCACTAACAGCCGCTGGTTTGGCCAGCGATAAGATTTACCCACGGACCAGGAACAGATTTGCCCGCACACTTGCATAGAGTTTAATTAATTTATGCACATTAGGCACGCAAATGTTGGGCTTCATTCCGTTCCAAGCTCAGCTCGAAGCTGGTCATTGTGGCTCCTGTGGAGCAGAGAGTGGGCCACTTGATTTATGCACTTTGTGTTTGAGCCATTTTACAATGTTAATATATATTATTAACAGCTAATTAGCTGCGATTTCATAATTGATGTGAGGCCCTGCCGCTGAATCGCTCAACTAGGTTGGCTTTAGTGATGGGAAAGTAAACTGGATTCTCTGAATGTATTAAAGGTACAAAATACAAAATCTTGCAAGTTAATTTACAATTTAGGAAGAGGAAACTATATTTTGATTAATTTTTATCACTATCCAACTGCAATTGAAGTCAATCACTAAAGCGAAAGGCAATTGAATTGATAATTAACCGAGAGTCGGAATGCCAGCCAATCAAACGCAGAGTCAATAGTTAATGAGAACTCTTTTTGTGTCGAGCATTGCAGCACTTTGATGTCCTTCCTTTGAGAAGCCTGCATTGTTGGTCTAACATGAATTTATCTCGGAGCGCTTTGTAAACTGTCAAAGCCCTGGGGGCTATTAGTCGGTCTCGCAGCCAAAGGAGTATAAATATTTCTTTGTGCACATTTAAAAGCAATTTCGTGCACTCACACACTCTCGGAGGAGGTCCAAAGGAATTCCATTAAACACATGATGCACAAAGAGCAAATAAAATTAACCAAATATATAAAACGCAAAACTTTCAACCCAAGCAGCCAGCATCCACTCGTATCTATCTCTATCTCTCGCCCAGTGCGTAAGCAAATAGGGCAAAAATAAATCTAAAATTGCAAATGCTGCAAGTTGATCCGATGGCCACTGGCTGAGAGATACTTTCTCAGCTGGTTTCGGCCAAGAGCTGCTTCCAAGTTTTATATCTACCAAGAGTGCGGTTAGCTGCAAGGGTCAGTTCAACTTGTTTAACAAATGGACGGAGCCAAAGTTTTTGGGGCTAAATTATTGTGGCAGAGAGATAAATGTGAATTGACGCTTGAGGAATGCAATTTGTTGGTTACGAATTTGTAATTGCAAAAGCATAATTTATTTATACCAGGGACAAGCACTCAAACGGGGCACTTGTTTAATTTTCCCATTCTGTGTGAAGTTAATCTGCATTTTCTGGGCAATGCTATCCCCCCTCTCAATCAGCATTTCGGGGGGCTTCCACTTATCAGAGGTGCCTCATCTTTGGCCAACGAGACATTGACACTTTACACTTGAATGTTGCTGTGAAAAATGTACACTTAAAGAAATTAAATGGGACATAAAGGCAGTCTTTTAATAGAAATACTTATTCGATCTATCATATTTTTGATACAAATTAAATCCTATATTTATTTGCATTATTTTCTCACTCATTTAGATCTTGTAATACATCTGATTATCAGCTAAATAATACTAAATAATTATTTTATATTCTACAAGAATAAATTACCGCATATTATCAGCATTTTGACGAGTGCTTATATTGAATCCGCCATTCCTTATTCGCATTTTTGCAGATACGACCTGATGGCCGGCGTGACACGTGCGGAGGCCTTTTTCAGCTTCAATTCGGGCGACGTGCAATATGGCATCGAGGCGGATCGACGGTCGAGAATTTTAAAGGCCTACGTACGCAACACGTACACGTTCCATTTGAACGAGATATTCGCAACGATTGTCAATGAGTATACGGATTGGGAGAGGCCCGTTCAGCATCCAATTAATATCCGGTGAGTAATTGCGTTTGTATGCGAGCCCCTCGAACCCGAGACTCCACCTGCCGATGGGGATGGTGATGGTGATGGTGACGGAGATGCGAAAAGGGTGGGACTTTGGAGGAGTACGAAGTGCGGAGTGGGTCGTGTGTGTGTGCCAAATAAATATTTCGTTCTTAATTAAATGCGCAATGGCATGCTCCCGATCTCTGGCTTCGGTGCCCCATTCCCGTGCAGGTTTCAATTAAAGCGGCTTAAATGAATCTTGATTTCAATCTTATGGCAAATGAAATGCAAATTTTTGTCCATTCGCTGTGCTCTGTCGGCCAACCGGCCAGCCTGCCAGCCTGCCTGCCACTCTTCATAAATAATGCTCGGTTGCAATTTGCCCCGGAAAACGGGTCGTATAAGTGATATGGAAATTGCTCGCATGCTAAACCAATCTAATGTGTGATTTGCCATTGCTTTTTCGATTTCCATCAATATTTATGTTAGCGATTGGGTCGAAGTGACACTGCCGGCTGCATTCGAATCATGTTTGAAATTTTTGGTTCTCGTTTCGCATTCCTCAAACAATTTATTACTGTTTGCATAATTTATGCCAAATTACATTTCCATATTTCCAAAGAAATATCCCAAACAAATTGATTTCCCGAGTGCAACGCGTGGCGTATACTTAATATTTCCTTTCACAGCCGCCGGAGTTGTGCGGACGTGCGTCAAGTTGCCTGCAATGAAGCACGACAAACGTTTTACGCTCCAACTGCGCCACGGGCCGACTTTTCCGGAGATTGCAGGCGGGGAAAGCTAACGAGTATAAAGTAAGGCAAGGCTTCCACCTTTTGCAGAAATACAGAAAAGTTTAGTGATTATTCTTAAATGGTAAATGATCTTCGTTGTTTAATCTCCAAATAATGCAAAGTTTTTAAATAATTCCGTAAGCCTGCTTTACTTTAAACCTTTAATGTGCCACAGGCCCAGCTGAACCCATTTTCTGTGCAGCTCCTGCTAGTGGATCCATCTTTGCTGCATTGAAAAGATATGTATGCAAATGCGCCAAATGGGTTTTATTCAAATTTTACGCTAGTGCATTTCGAATGCTAAACAAACTAAAAAAATATATGTATATAAAAGGGCAGACAGACAAAAATAAGACGAAAAAATAAATATGGATGGGGGAAACCTAAAACCCCGAAATAGGCTTAGGCCAGCGTTGGGGACGCCACTTGGTAAACAGGTAAATACGAGCCACATCAACGAAAGTGGCAGCACTCAAAGTGGCTTGTTAGTTGCGCACTTGAACACAGCTCGATTGGCGGAGAGCAATGGCAAAATAGCCGGAAAATTGCCAGCAGACTGAAGGGCGGGGCAAATATTGAAAAATTGTTATTTGATTTTAATGTTGTTCTTTTTCCCCCCCCCCATTTCCAGGGACGAAACACTGGAGGCACTGAGCGATGCTCAGGTTGTGGCCCCGGCAGCTCAAACGGTGGATTTGCATTCGGCAGATCATCGCAACTCGTACCTGTATGTGTTTGACTACCAGACTCGCTTTGGCGATTATCCTCAGGTGGGTTTTTAGTATTCTTTTTAAAGATTTTGATTTATATTTCTAGTGTAATAGAAGCGATTTATAAAAGTTAATATTTTTGATTAGGATTTGAAACCAATTTAAAAGTAGTTTAACTTTTAAATCCAATATTTAGCATGAAATATATCATCAATTCAACTTCTTGATGTTCATTTAAACTGAAGCTTTGTGCTCCCTTAACGAGTTAATCCTTGACCTAAATTAATAAGCAGGCAGACCCGTGGAAGCCCTCTATATTAGAGCTCCACTCTTTACCCTCAACCCAAATATCGAAATTGAATAGCAGACCAAGTTGTTAGCTCCATGCACTCCATTTGTAATGGCAGACTGAGGGCATAGTGAGGTTGGCGCATTAATACATATAGGATCAGAGTTAAGGGGCTCATGTAAAGCCGGGCACTTAATTTGGTTTCTGGTTTTCTGGCATTTTGCAGCGCCAGGGTTGCATTCACGGCGAGGACCTGCCCTATATCTTCGGTGCACCGCTCGTTGGCGGCTTCAATCACTTTACGCGCAACTACACGAAAACCGAAATCAGTTTATCAGAAGTCGTGATGTTCTACTGGTCCAACTTTGTGCGAACTGGGTAAGTGCACTCCACACGTGGTAATTAAAGCATTCTTTAATTCATATATTTAATTTAAATGAAAATGAATGAATATATATTGTATTTATTAAAGACATTTGATTATTTTCTCAGTGCATTCAACCAATTGTGCCACCACAAGTGCTTTTACCTTTCATTAATCACACACTTGTCCATTTGCAGCAATCCAAATGAGCAAATGGAGCCGGAGCATGGCAGTCGCCAAGAGCGGAGTCGCTACAAGACCATCGAGTGGACGGCCTACGAGAGTGTGCACAAGAAATATCTCAATTTCGGTAAGGATGTTAAAACAAATATATAAATATATGGGTTAAATGAAAATAAAATAGTATGCAAACTCAGGGGAACCTATTAATTTTACCTTATATTTATCAATTATATAACTATGCTTTTATTCTCTCCTTTTTTTTATTTTTCCCCCGCAGATACCAAACCCAAACTGAAGAACCACTATCGAGCACATCGCCTATCCTTCTGGCTGAACCTCATCCCGGATCTGCACAAGCCTGGTGGCGACAACGTGCCGGCTGCTCACCACCAGCTGCGGGACGATGACGACGAGGACAACAATATACCCAACGATGCCTCCGTTAAGCCCCTCAATCCACCGTACACTTCACGGGCTGCCAATGCAGCGGCCATGGGCAATTTCACGATCTTTACCAACCAGGTCTTCTCTCTGCTCAACCTGAGTTCCCCCTCGTCCTCGCTGCAGAGGAATGGCACCCGTTACGGTGGCGCTAAGATATATCCGGATGATATGATGGATGGCGATCATGGAGGCGGTGGTGGGGCCGCCAGTGCATCGCAGGACAATGATGGATTCGCCGCCTATTCCACGGCTCTGAGTGTCACCATAGCCATAGGGTGTTCCCTGCTGATCCTGAATGTCCTCATCTTTGCCGGGGTGTACTATCAAAGGGACAAAACCCGGCTCAGTGAGCCCCGACCGCAGACCAAGCTAAAGAGGCAGGAGAACGGCCAGATGCCGAACAACATATGCGGCGATTTGGAGACGCTGACCATTCATGCCAAGAGCGATCCCGCCACCATATTGTCGCACCACCACGCCATGCAGCACCACCAGCTTCCGCCACCGGAGTTCGCGGACATACCCCACCGGGCTCCACCGCCGCCTAAGCACATGAAGTCCCTGCAGGATCCCGGCGGCGGTGGCTCAGTAAGTGGAGCCGTGGGTGTTTCTGGCGTGGTGCAGATGCCACCGCCCCACGCTCTGCAGGTAATGGGCAACCAGTGCGGCACACTGACAAAAAAGAGCTGCATGAAGCAGACCCAGCAAGCCCAGGCCCAGCAGCATTCGCCCGCACAGCAGCAACAGCAGCAGCAACATGTGGTTACCCATCAGCAACATTTGCAGAATCATCATAATCAAAGCATGACCACTGTGCTGACCACGGCCGGTGGCCTAGTGGTACCTACGCCGCCTACAGTGCCGGTGATTGTGGCCACCACCACGCAGCACCAGCAACACCAGCAGCAGCAACACCAGCAGCAGCAGCAACAGCAACAGCAGCAGCAACTTCCGCTGATGGACGAGCTGCGTGTGTGACATTAATTGACCGTGCGTTTTAAATGCGACCTCTAAACGCACAGCGTCCCTAATGCCTCAAGCCCCCTTCCCATGCTGTTTCCATAGGTAGATGTGTAAGTAAATGTCGGGAGCCAGAGCTGTGTCTATTCAATACACACAGAAAGAAGCTCCTAATCTTCAAACTCTGTTGCTAGTTGGTTCTTCAAGAATTACCCTGTAAATAGTTACCTAAGTGTAGATTGTTGTCGAACTCATTATCAAGAAGAGTCAACTTAACTGAGACTAAGCTGGAGAACTGTATAGTTATGCTTTACCTTTCCATTATTTTATTTCAATTTCTGTAGCTATGGTATAGGAAATATTTTTAATTTTACGAGTATTTATTTTATTATTTTCTAACCTCTGAAAATATTTTACAGATAGGAACAGCAAACTTACTTTAAACTAAACGAAATGTATATTTAAATATTTCAAATTTATTCCTCAGTTACAAGCCATTCTAGATTTCGAAACTAATTAGGACCAATAAAAGCTATACAATTCCAAGTTACGAAAACGTTTTCATCTCTCCCCTGTGTTGGCATTAGTATTAACCACATTCCAGTAGACAAGAGCATAGGAAAAACTACGACGAGAATTATAAATGCGTAAAAAACAAAAATGAACATAAATGTTATTCTTCCAAAGACTGAATTATAATTGTGTGTAAATAAACTAGTGGCAGATTTAAAAGTAATATATAAACTTGTACAACAAAGCTCCCATATAAATAATTTCCAAACGAGTACACAGTTTTTAGCCAAAGAACAAGTTAAATGAGAAATTGCAGCCGTAAAATCAAATCATGTACAGGTGACAGGGAGCTTCTCCTCTAAGTTCTGGCAGGATATTTGTAAAAAAAAGAAGACAAACAAAAGTGTACAACTACCCCTGAAAAACAATAGAACAACTTGAACTCAAACTAAAACGTAACATAAACTTTGGTCAGGCAGAAAACAAGCGAAAGCTAAATTAAATTAAACTGTTAATTGTAAGCATGCAGCTACTTTGTTATGTAACTAAATAAATATTTATATAGCTATTAAAATAAAATACATATACGTATAAGCGAAGCCGAGTAAGCCCCTTATATAGCTATAAAAATTTCAAACCGCGAGATACTTAGTTAAAAATTCCATTAGGAGTTAAGCGCGGCAATTGAAATGAGCAGTAACATCATAATTTCCCTCATTTCAGTATTCCGTACGGTTTTTCGTTCTGCATTACACAAATTCACAAACAATTGCCCAAAACTGTAATTAAAATGAAAATAAAACGCGGGGAAAAAAAACACATAAAAAGGAAAATTAAGCAATGGAACAGCTCATTAAAGTGAAACAGCGCGAAAATTGCAAACAATTTAATGGCGCTTATGAAAAATACTTGTAAATTATATAAACACATTTAGCGAACGGGAACTATAATGAAAAACTGAAACAAATTACAACCGAATTGAAAATGTATAAGTCTATAGCTACACACACACACACACACACACATCTAAAAATATAAATCTATGTATTAATGTACTGGTGTAAACTTAGCATAATTAGCAAATTAATACCACAAATATATATAAATATAAATAATATATAGAGTGCTGCATAACTGGCAAACAAAAAAGAAGGAATACAATTAAAACGAAAACCCATGAAACCCCATTGCGTTAGATCATGTGTGCGAAAGGGATTTAGCATTAACAAATTCTGACTAAATGGAATATAGTGAAAATCAGTAAAAAAAAAACAAGTTAAATAAATGAGATGAAATCACAAAAATTGATTTAAAGGTTTATATCAACAATGATGGTGTGAACAAAATTGCAAACACTAAAGATAAAATGGAAATTTAAGTAATAATAAAGTTGCAAAAATTATAAAAATTATACGGAAATGTGGTTTTTATTAATTTATTATCTATATTATAAAGGAATTTTATGGAGGCTCACATTAAGTCCCAACTGCAAGGCTGTGCTCTTTAAGAGACCGTTGAAGTATACAAGAGAAAGAGATAGTTTCCGCCATCTTTAGGCGAAACAAATATGGCGCTGGCACCCACACACATGCACTCCATCCGCACATCTACAGTTGTTGGCCAAATATTCGCAGAGTTGCAGCAGCAGGAGTAAAGAAATATACAGACACAGGACGAGCATAGCTCGGTGGAGGCAGACTGAAGTACGATAATGGTTCCATTGATACGAAAATAGAATGTGCAAAGGCAAAGCACGCTGGAGATAAGTTTCTTTAGCGAAAAAATGAGACGGATAAGAACAAACGAATCCATTGAAAATAGATTTATTATGTAAATTTGCCAAAGCGTAAGTGAGAGGGGTTTGACTCCGTCTGTATTTCTCATTCTCTTCGATAAGATTAACAGCTTAATTTATAAAATAGAACAATACCATTTCCTACACTTTAAATAAAAGGGGAAACCAAGTCTTTATGAAATTGCTTAAATAAAATTTTTGTTAGCATAAATATACTTTTATAATATAATATTTTTTACATTTCTTATTTATATTAAATTTTGTAGTATACTTTTTCCCTGAAATGTAATTTCTCCTCTACTTAATCCACTTTCCCTAGCCATATATGCTCGGCATAATAATTGAATCAAAACAATTTAAAGCCAACTTCGCTTTCGCATTGTCTCTTTCTCCGGCTTAAAATTCAACTGATTTTTATTGTCAATGACGAAATCCAATAAAGCGAAAAGGGAAACTCTTGGCGTTTAATCCCCTCTGAAAAGTTTAGTTTTCCATGGTACGTGTTATATTTTGTTCATTTAACTTAAAATCAAGGCGGAACGGGGCGTCCCTCGGTAGGGCGTTAGTCGAGCTGTATTTAATTTATTAGCACAAGCCGGGCGAAATTAAATAATAAAAGTCTTCCAAGTGGCTCTCCTTCTCCGGGTTCCTTCTATGTGTGAGTGAAAATTATCACTTTTAATGCTGCCAAAAAGGTCACGAGTCCGGCGGCGGGACGGGCGGAGGTCAAGGGTTCACCCCATTGATGGGCGAGAGGCCAAAAGCAAATGGCTGGCGAGCTGGAACTCCTCCAGTCTCTGCTCCTCTCAGCCCTGGCAAGTTGATAAATTATGTTGCAAAATCTGTTAGAAATTGCTTTATACGCTAATAAAAGTATTTCCAAAGGGGGCCAGAAAACAACATAATTTAAGGTGATCCAGATAGCTAGGAAAGTAAAGGGAACACTAATCGTTGATGTCTCAATCAAGTTTTACTAACTATTAGGTAATTTGATAATTTAACTTTTAAACAGTGTTTAAAACAAGAAAAAAAGCTAACTTTGGCCAGCCAAAGTTTGTATATCCTTGCAGGTAACAATTAAAATATATCATAACTAAGCCAAAAATGCATTAATTTCGATTCGGAAAGCAGTTTTGTGTTAGTTTTTATTAATTTAAAAAAACTGCATACCAAATTTAAAATTTTAAGAAATCAAAATTTTTGGTCATTTTTGCTAATTTTAATGATGTAACCCCTTATCAAATTTCGCAAAAATGGCCAAAAAAACGATTTCTTCCGGACATGTCTAGAAAGATTCGCATGTTAATGCTGATCAAGAATATATATGGTTTATGGGGTCGGAAATGATTCCTTGACTTAGAAAAATATTATTTTGTATTATAAAATCTGATTTTTTATATTAAAAAACTTCTTGATTTTTTTTTTTAATTAAAAATATCATAACTTGGCCAAAATAGCATTAATTTTATATCGGAAAACTGTTCTGTGCAAGATTTTCTACAGTTAATAAATCTGCATACTTTATTTAAAATTTTTGAAAATTCAATTTTTTATCAAAATCAAAAATTTTAATGATGTAACCCCTTATGAAATTTTGCAAAAATGGCCAAAAAATCGATTTCTTCCTGACATATCTAGAAAGATTCCCCTGTTGATGCTGATCAAGAATATATATACTTTATAGGGTCGGAAACGTCTCCTTCACTGCGTTGCAAACTTCTGACTAAAATTATAATAAGGGTATAATGAATAGGTTTCCCTTTAGTTCTACGAAATAAAGCTTAACTTGGGTAATAATTGTGTTTCAAAATAAACCCCTTGCAATTCGTACTTTAAGTCTGATTAAAACTTAATAACAAAGAGCAGTGATTGTAGACAGTAATTCAAAGCTGACAGTAACTAGTTTTCCTGGGATATATACCCTTAAAAGTTATCTTCCTGATCTTTGCACTGACCAAATCTACAAAACTTTTACTTTTTCCTGTTTTATCACCACATCAACGTTAATCCCAACCAAAATTGAGTTTGGAATGGCCACCAAAAAAATCGCACAATTTGCTGAAAGTTCGTTACGGGGGTTTTCCCGCAAATGCTGGAAAAGTTTAAACGAAATCGAAGAAAAGTAGAGACGGAAAAAATGTTATACACATTATAACAGTTTTTCGTTGGATAAACTTTATTTGGCTGGCAATTAGTTTGTATTATTTTCAGTTTGCTTTGCCATTTATATTTGTTTTTTTTTTGCTGCGCGGGTCGGTAGTTGAATTTTTTTAACTTTTAAAATATTTATATTCTGCCATTTTTTTGTTTTTAGCAGACAGGTGAAAACAGGAGTCGCTGCTGTACACTTTTTGAACGCCACGAAAAGTTTTATTAGTTGTTTGACCAATATCTTTTTCTTTCTGCTCTCTATTTCCTCCTTTTTTTTTCTCCTGTTCGAAAAAACAGGAATAGCAAAGTTTACCCATTGTCTTTTTGTCATTGTTGAATAAAAACTTTCCGCTTCCGTTCACCCAGCAGATACACGCAAATCCAATTGGCAATAGCTATGAATAACGTTTCGGAAGGACCTTAAAACCCCTTCCGCAGTTGGGTGGAAAAACCGCTAATTAGTCAGGCAAAGATTCGCTCAATTGGCTTAGGCGTTGGTTTGCTCTCAGCCTAATTAGATACATTTGAAGTGGTTTCTGCGCGGATAGAAATCATTGACACGAGTTTCAAAAAGCATTAATATTAAATAAAAACATAAAATAGTTATTTTTAAAACAATTATTTTGGTATAATTTGTCGTATCTTAAAAGTGTTGAAGATAAATTAATATAAAAATTATTACAATGAATATTGTTACACCCACGAAATAATATACAGAATTTTTGGGCTTCGATCAGAATGAATTTTAGCAAACATTAAAATGAAAATGTACAAGGCCTTCGTCCGATATCACAGCACACATCTATGCGATACAATCCCCTACTAACCCAGATTCAGTTCACACAAACATATGAACATTTGTATGTATATATGGGAACCATAATCTATCTATTCAGCCAAATCAAATCGAATCACAAATGCA